CAGAGGAGACAGTCCTCCACAAACTTCTCCAGTGTGAGTCCTTCCCAGGGGCTGCAGTTCTTCATGAACTGCTTCAATAGGTGTTTCTTCCACAGGGTGCAGTCCTTCAGGACCAGACTGCTCCAGCATGGATACCCCACAGGACCACAGGTCCTGCCAGGAGCCTGCTCCAGCATGGGCTTCCTGTGGGGTCACAGCCTCCTTTGGGTGCATCCCCCTACTCCAGCATGGGGTCCTCCATGGGCTGCAGGTGGATATGTGCTCCACCATCATCCTCCATAGGCTGCCGGTGGACAGCCTGCACCGTTAACCTCCATGGGCTGCAAGGGGGCAGCGTGCCTCACCATGGTCTTCTCCATGGCCTTCAGGGAAATATCTGCTCTGGTGCCTGGAGCACCTCCTGCCCCTCCTTCTGCACTGACCTTGATGTCTGCAGAGTTGCTTCTCTCACATACTCTCACTTCTCTTTCTGGCCACAATTGCTCTTGGTGTTTTTTTCCCCTTCTTAACTCTGTTATCCCAGAGGCACTACCACCATTGCTGATGGACTTGGCCTTGGCCAGCAGCGGGTCCTTCTTGGAGACAGCTGGCATTGGTTCTGTCGAACATGGGGGAAGCTTCTAGCAACTTCTCTCAGAAGCCACCCTTGTAGCCCATCCGCTACCAAAACCTTGCCACGCAAACCCAATATAGTTTTAAATTTTAAAGAGAGAATGCTATTTTCACCTCCTGTAGTAAAACATAAAATATACATATTTGTGTTAATAGACAGCTTTCTTAATTAGTAATGCTCAAAACAGAGAACCGAAATCGATTTATAACAAATACTTTGTTTTAGTCTGTATGGTGGTAAGAATTCAGGGGAATAATACTAGAAGTATCTATTTAGTGATAGACGTAGCTTTAATGGTAAAACTGGATTTTTACATGGATTTTCTTTTCAACAGTGGACATTCTTCTGGTTTTGATGGTCGTTCTGTTCGTGCGTTTTCATATGGCAGTGGTGAGTAAGCTTGCTGGCTTTGAGAATTTTTACTAGTGCTATGTCAAATTGTTTGATATGCTTATCAGGATTTTAGCTAAGAGTCTAAATGGGTCCTTTCAATAATTCATTATGAAAGCTCATTGCCTGCCATTGTAAACAGATACATGCTGTTGCAAATTTAACAGCTGTTGGTAAATACTGTTGTTTTCATAGAATCATGGAATGGTTTGGGTTGGAAGGGACCTCAAAGACCATGTAGTTCCAACCCCCCTGCCATGGGCAGGGACACCCTCCACTAGACCAGGTTGCCCAAAGCCCCATCCAACCTGGCCTTAAACGCTTCCAGGGATGGGGCATCCGCAGCTTCTCTGGGCAACCTGTTCCAGTGCCTCACCACTCTAACAGTAAAGAATTTCTTTCTAACAGCTAATCTAAATCTACCTTCGTTTAGCTTAAACCCATTCCCCCTTGTCCTGTCACTACACTCCCTGATAAACAGTCCCTCACCATCTTTCCTGTAGGCCCCTTCAGGTACTGGAAGGCTGCTATAAGGTCTCCCTGGAGCCTTCTTTTCTCCAGGCTGAACAATCCCAACTCTCTCAGCCTGTTCTCATAGGAGAGGTGCTCCAGCCCTCTTGATCATCTTTGTGGCCCTCCTCTGGACTCATTCCAACAGCTCAACATTTTTCTTGTACTTGTTTATTTATTTGCATGCTGGATATCTTTTCATGCTGCTTTTGCAGAACTGTGATTTTACAAAATAATACACTGTAATACGGACCACAAGTCAGGGAGAACTTTTCAAGAACTGGTAGGATTTAGAAGCAGGAGAACAAGTATTGTTGAAACAATCATCAGAATTTTAACCAGCAAGACAAATCATTGAGAAATCCTGAGTGATGCACCCCTCCTTTGAGAAACTGTCCAAGATACTGTAATCTTCAGCTATTCTGTTGTAAAATTCAGTCTTTATGTGCAGTCAAATGGATATCCACAGAACCTCCAGTGAGTCTAGAACTGTTACCTAGCGCAGCTCTGCTGCTTGAGCCAAAAGAGTGATAGCAATACTAAGATGTCAGCTTTTTCCTGACCTAGCCCAAATTGGGAAGAAAAATAAACAAAATCACAGAATGAATTGGAAGGGACCTTAAACATCACCTAGTTCCAACCCCCCTGCCTTGGGCAGGGACATCTTTCACTAGATGAGGTTGCTCAAAGCCCCATCCAACCCAGCCTTGAATACTTCCCAATGATGGGGCATCCACAACTTCTCTGGGCAACCTGTTCCAGTGTCTCACAACCCTCATTGTAAAGAATTGTTTCCTTTTACAAGAAAAAAAACAGTCTTACAGCCATTAGTATGTCCATTGCATCTAATATGTAGTCTCCAATTTAAAATGTTTTTCACTTTGGAATATCTTTTGTCAGAATTTGCTATCCTGTCAAGTATTGTCAGGGACACAACAGTATTTCCAAGTTTTATGTTGATGTTCAGAGGTGATGGCATGTTTACATTGTTGCAGTACCAATATACAAAAGATGACTTTCATTGCAATCATGTCAATATTGAATTTGAACTTCTTCACCAGTGTTAAAAATTTATGTTTTGTATGGTTAGGGAGACCAAGGAGCACAGTCTGATCACATCTTGCCAATATATCTGGCATCCCTGTTGTGGCAAAAGCTTTCCTATTTGCTGCACAAAGCAAACTGTCTGTCTCCTGAGCTGTGCCTGTCATCCGGACTTATTTTGATCTGTAGAGGCTCAGTGGCATTTTATCGCTGCTGTTCATCTCTTAGTGAAAGATATGTTCCTGGTCAGCATCTTACTCTCATAGTTCCTGTTTCACAATGCGATCTCTGGCCAGTATTTTGCCAGTCTCTCCATGCATCAGAACTTAGGTAAATTGGGAGCTCAGTGGCACAGTAGAGTACAGATGTTCATTTTAATTAAGAATCGCTTAATAGTTTAATAGTTGCTTTAGAAGATAACACTGAATCTCCACCCTGTTGTGGTCTTTGCCAGTCTGTGTGTTTCATGGCTTTGTCAAAATTGTGGAGCAAGATGAGCATATGGAACATAGTGCAAAAAAATACAAATCTTGATTAAGGCTCTAGCCTTTCTTCTGCCTGTTCAAATTGCTAATCTCATGCCGTGGTGTCTTTTTGCTAGCAGTCAGGCATGTTTCCTGTTGCAAGCCCATTAGGAAGGTTGCATAGTAAGATAATATTCTTAACTTTACAAGCTTCAAGAATATCTATTTTGTCTTTGTGCTCTTCTGCATCAATGCAGTTGCTTAAATTTATTCTTAAATTCTTTCACAATTCAGTGTTACCTTTGTCATCAGATCTTTGAATTTTATTGAGCTGTCAATATATGGCACTGCATTTGGTCTGCCAGTGAAGCAACTTGTATTGTATGCTTGTCCGTTTTTTCCTCAAACATTTCCCTGTTCTGTGCCCTAAACGTTCAGAGGAACTAACTGTTACCTAAAAAGGTTGTGAGACGGTCTTGTGATTTCCTTTGTAACTTCTTAAGCGTATCATCTTTTAGATGAAGATAATGTGCTTAATTTTTTCAAAGTTTATCTTAGGAACTTGCAAGAAATTTGGCATTACAGAAACAATTTGAGAGTTGGTATTTTTTGAGGCACAAAGATGTGTTAGTAGTTTGCCTTATACTGTGACACCATGCAACTTTAAATTTTTAAGCTGTCTCCGAAACAGGACTTAAGTCTCCAAAACTATTGACTGTTCAAAGCTCCCTCTCTTCCTGTTTTAAGAATAAAATCAGAGTTAAACTTTGGAAGTGTCTCTTTTTGTAGATATCATTGGAATAGTCCATGTAGAAATACTAAAAGTGACAAATTACTTCATTCTAAGTAGTAAATGCAGAGCACTAATTCATAGTAGAAAGTAAGCTTCTTGCGTGTTGGGAATAATCACTGTTGAAAATCGAGATATAAAAATGTGCAGAGGTTTATCTCATGGTGTTGGGGTGGAAATGACATACTTCTGTCTGAGAATTACTGCAGATGTGAGGGAGTAACCAAAATTTATCATAAAAGTTTATACTGCCATTAATAAGAATAATCATTTTGTAGTATACATTTAAAGTTAAACTTAAGTTTACACTTCAGATCAGAATAGTCTGTTCAAGTCTCATAGACCATACGTATGTTGTTGACATAGTGGCAAGTCAAGGAAATTAGCAGTCTTTAAAGTCCAGCTGGTTTTTTTGCTATTTCTGGCTGCTTTCCTTAGAAGAATTTCAGGTTTTGGCAGTATAATGAACAACATACTATTGTATTAGTGTATTTTTTCCTGTTAACTCCTCATTTTCTCTGTAGCCCTGAAGTGAAACAGTGTCAAGCATTTTGTTAGAGGCAAAACCTCGTATAAATGCTTTTTAAAAGAATTATAATGCTTTTCATTGCAAATGTATTTTAACAATGAAGTGTTTTTTCCTGCTCCACTGCCTGCTCAAAAGGTCTTTTGTATTCCTCCTTTGGACACTTGGCAAACTGCTGTCTTAAGCTTCTGCCAAAGCTTTGTGGGGCAGGCATACCCCAGACACTGCAGGCAAGGCAGCCTGAACGTAGCTGTCGGGAGAAGCCACTGGTTTTATAACTCGGCAGTATTAAATACAGCATCAGTAACACACTTTACATTGTTCAGTGGATATTTATGTTAATTATACTATTAATGTCTCTTTGTGACACCATGGAGTCAAGTGAATATTGTTCTCATATTATAGATAATGAAGTGGAACTCAAAACAAACGATTTATTGAAGGCTATGTTATCATTGGCTAGCAAAGCAGATAAGCAGAAAGTGGGAAGTCCTCTGTACTGTAAGTCCACTAGAGAGTGCTGTTTCCAGTTAAATACCACAGCCCTTATTTTTCATTAACAGGATGCATCCACGGAGCTTCTGGAGAGGGAGGGCAGGACAGAACAATTGGGGCATTAAAAGGAGTAGTTATTTATTGCATCAAAGTTGGCAGAAAGCAATGGAGAAGCATATCCCTTCTCTCTTCCCATTGCTGGTTACCTAAAAAGGTTGTGAGATGGTGTTGTGATTTCCTTTGTAACTTCTTAAGCATATAATCTTTTAGATGAAGATAATGTGCTTAATTTTCTGAAACTGTTATATTTTAGTGGTAATACTGGCTGTGCTGAATATTCATTAGAAATGGTATCTTACAAAGCATAAGTAGGAGCGTTATTTCTTCTCCCCAGAATGAATTTATGGAATTTATGTCTAAGCTGCTGTTACATCTGTAATCAGAAAAGTATAGCAAAGCACAGTATAGAATATAAATTACTGAATTAGAACTTTGTAACTAACATATTTTAAATACAATGATTTTTAAAGGACAAAACAAAAACAGTATAAATATAAAGTTGGAAGCATTCTTTTCCCTTGTTTTTCTGAACTGTACTTTCAGAGCCACTGAGTTTCAAAGGCAGTTTTTGTTTTCTGGTTGTTTTTGTTTTGTTGTTCCCCCAAAACAAAGCCATTTGACCACATAAAATGAGATTCTTTCAGCAAATCTTTGCACATTTTTTTTTTTCCCCCCAAAAGGATTTAGACAGTTTTTGCGGTGTATATCCTGGTTCTGTACATCTTCATAATAAGTATTTAAATGAGTGCTTGGTGAGAATTAACTTTTATGTGAAAGGGGATGATTGAAAAATGTCATTGGAGGAGGATGAGAAACATGTGTTTTCATGCATAAGTAGTGTTACAGTTTGCATACGGTATCTGATTTTGTTCTTTCTAATACCTGCGTCTTTTTCTTTAGTCACCTTTCCGCACCTTGCAGGTTCTGCTCCTTCATGGTCTAGTCTTATGGACACCAGCAAACAGTGGGATTACTATTCACGAAGAGAGAAGGATAGGGAACGTGAGAGAGAGCGATCCCGAGATCGGGATCGGGACCGGGACCGAGACAGAGATCGAGAACGTACCAGAGACAGGGAAAGGGACCGAGATCACAGTCCAACTCCAAGTGTGTTCAACAGGTTAGTGAAATGTCTTAAGCATGCTGTGACTCTGCTCAAACCCCTGTGTCTGTGTTAAATAATGTCCTTCAACATAAAAATTTAGTGTTTAGCTCTATATTCCAAAGAACTGGAGGGTGTGGCTTCCTCCCTTTCCCCCTTTACTCTTGGAAACTATAGCTAAATTTCTGAATGTGGAACAGAAGTGTAAAAACAACAGTATACGTACAAACTGGGCATAGTGTTTTACAGGTTAAAGGTGTGATTTAAGCCCTGAGTATAAGTGACATACCGAGATCCTTTTGACGTCAGTAGTTCTAGAAAAATCTATAGAAGTACTAAATGAATCTTGGTTGCCAATTCAGTGCTAAGAGTAATGTGGTGTAACATTTGACCTTAATTAATGGTGGTGTTAGCTGTTAAAATGGTTAGTTTGGTCATTAGCACTAAATGGATAATAATCTGTCCTATCTTTTTAAAAACTGTTATTTCAAGGTCAAGAACTTCTTGTCATTTTCAGGCAAATGATGAAAATAATGGCAGATAACTGTATTCAGCTTTCAGCTCTCTAATTGTTTTTTAAAAAAAAGGAAAGAAAAAAGCTGCAACTGTTCACGTGCACAAGTACAAAGCATTTAATGTTGAGCTCGCTATGACTCCATAGAGCAGAGGTCTATTGGCTTGCCGTATTTATCTAAACTTTCTTTGCTCATTATTTGCTAAATATTGTGGGGTAAATGTCCTGACGCTTTTCTCAGTGGTTTTTGTTAAGTTTCAATTTTTGTGGAATATAGACTTTAGCTGTTAGGCAGATTGTTTTTACCAGCAATTTTATGCTGAGAGTCAACATTACTTTGGTTGAGCGATGACATTTTTTGTGTGATGATTGTTAGCTGAAGACCCAAACTGGGTGCAGGATAGGGGATTTTCCATGTATGCTGATGTCCTCTCCCATGTGCATGTGCTATGTTCCAGGGTCAGTTTCTGAGAATTCAAGACAAATCTAAACATCTGTTTCTCAGACAGCTTGATTGAAGGCCAGAAAGAAGCCTGGTCATTCAAGGGTGCTTGAAATGAACCTTAATAGCTTCCAGGCCTCAAGAAATCTCTGTGCTGCTGCCAGAGTTATCTGTAAAGGAGGGGGAAGAGCAGGCCTCCACTTTTTTATGTGACTAAATTATCCACCATCTGTAGCAAAGCTGTTGCCACATGGCTGTGTAAGAAAACAGGAGGCCCTTAACTAGTAGAAGTTGGTTTGGGAGTCACAGAGAAGGTGGGAGAGGCTGAAGACAGAACATGCAGACATAATGTTTTTTAAGAAGGTTTATTTTCAATTCTATGCGTTTAAGAAAATAAAATGAAACAAGCTATGAGGAAGAGAATGTGAACTATTTTAGAGACTGCACAGATGCATTACTTTAAATTTCCTTTGTTTAAACGTTGTTCAAGCAACACCATAGTGGGATTTGGAGTAAGCATCATCTTTAGGTTTTTATTGCTCAGAAATTACTGCTTTCAATGTTTTTAGCAGTTCTTTTCCAGATAAATAGCCTGTATTTGTGCTATAATATTTCTTAAAATTGTAAGAAAAGGGGAATTATTTTTGTTCCGTTAATGTAACCAAAATATGGTATAAAAATGAACCTTCAGCTGTCTTTTTATATTCTGTTCTACATTTGTCCTGCTATCCTCAGATGAAATTGTACATTTTTACAATATATCTCACTCTGCCCCCTTGAGAAGATGCTGTTCTTTTTGGACTATTGTCTCTTCTGCAAAGACTATGTTTTCTTTTTTTTTTTTGTCTTGATAGTTTCATGTCAATTAGTTACCACTCAAAATGTAAATGTTGATTGATACCTTACTACTTTGTGGTTCTTCCTCAGCAATTCGTAAACCAAAACCAAAACCCAAAAACTCTATTTCTAAGGTCCTGGAACTCACTAATCCCATGCAGCAGAGCAGATGAGGGTCTGTCTGGCTAGAAGGCAGCTTTACAGGAAAGGACTGGGTGTCCAGGTGGGCAACAAATTGAATGGGACTTGGCTCTCAATGTGCGATAAAGTTCAAGATGCATTGAGCTGTATTAGAGTGTAGCCCACAGGTGGAGAATGCCGTTATTCGCCTCTTATTTGGCACTTGAGACAACATGCAAAGTACTGTGCCCAGTTTTGGGACCCTCCTAGGAAAAAGACAGCATTGACAGACTGGAGAGTCCAGTGGAGGTCTGACAAGGTGGTTAGCAGGGCTAGAGGGATGGAGTTTATTTAGCTTGAAAGGAGAAGGATGAGAAGGGTTCGTAAAGGATATTTTCAACTATGTAATGGGTGGTTATAGAGAAGATAGAGCCAGGCTCTTTTTCAAGGTGCACAGAGAAAGGACAAGAGGCAATAATTAGTTGTCACAGCAAGGGAGATTCCAATTAGATATGGGGGGGAAGGAAATGAACACAAAAAGAGTGATCAGGTGGTAAGGCAGGTTGCAGAGAGAGGTCATGGAATCTCCAGCCTTGGAGATACCCGAAACTTCACTAAAGCAAGCTGGCCAGTGTTAGCCCTGTATTGAGGAGGGGTTAGCCCAAGTGACCTCCACAAGGTCCCTTCCAGCCTAAATCCTTCTGTGATTCTTTGTAAAGGGTTTTGAACACATGAAAAAGTTTTTGAACACACATATCAGAAGTTAGACAGTTCTACCAAAGGGAGGTCTCGTGATTTGTGAATTTAATAGCTTGTAGTCTGTTTTGAAAAAGGAACCAAAGGTGTAGACAATGAAGATTTTATGGATTGGACTGGTTTGGGGCTTATTTGCCAGGAGAGCAAAGGTAACTATAAGTCCTTTTCCACAGGTCAAGGGTTTTAGTGCTCTCAAGGCTGTCCCTGGAAGGCTTTGATAAGTGCAGTGTAAACCCAGATACAAAATGGGAAGATCACTGGTGTAACATTGGGTACATGGCATTTATTCCTGTTCCTGAAAGCTTCCAACATACTGGACTTGGCAAACTGTTTTTTTGCTTTATTTCTAGAAAGGTTGTTTATTTTCAGACACACTTACAAGCTGTCATGGTTCCTTAGTAGTTTGCCAAAATAAGATTTAAAAAGGAGTATCAATAATATTTTTAACCTTTTCTAGGGTGTTAAAATAGTTGTGTAACAGAGCAAATGCAGACTGTGGGTTAACATTAAAGGTTTTAGATCTCAGCTTTGAAACCAAGCCATAAGTCTACAAGTAGTCATGTAATTTTTTATGGAAAGCTCATCAGAAGGCAGAATTAGACATTCAAATTTTAACTTTTTAATTAGATACTGATCGTCAAAATGTTAGTTCTGGGAAGTAATAACGGATATTGGAAGTAAACTATAGTTGAATTGGTTCTACCTTTTTCTATCCCTGCAAGCCTGTAGAAATGTAAGGCTCTTAAAATTGTGATGACTAGTGGGACTTTAAAGATGTGTTAGTACAGGAATCCTCTGTCTAACAAAAATTTTCAGTTGTTGTTCAAATCAGACTTTACCTTTGGTTATAACTTCTGGTAGATTTCAGAACCTAATTTTAATTTATTTTTTAATATTATACTCTTTTTTCTAATATTCTAAAACTGAGCTTTATAACTAGACTTCACCAGGCACATGCTGTCTTTATGGTGCTGCTTTATCACACATCAAGTTAAGACACACTTCAAACACAGATCAAATGATGACTGTCGTTCTGAACTGCAAAGCTAACTGCTATGTAAGCTAGGCTTGTCTTCTCTTCAGTATGACTCATCCTGGAAACTAGCAGTTGATACCAATCTTCATCTTTCAGTGACATTTGATAAGAAAACTTCTAATCGTTGGTTGTACACCTTTCCCTGAGGTCTTGGGTTGGTGTCTTGTGAGTAGAACTGTTCAGTAGAAAGGGACTTGAATTATAAATGTCTCCCCTGCACTTCCCTCCTTCCCCTGACAGTAGAATAGAAATTTGAGGGCAAAACAGTAGTAAATGATCAATACAAATAGAAACAAGTTAAAAGCATAGGACTTGAGATTTCAGCATTGTAAGATTTGGGATTTATTTTCTCCCTTCCTCCCACCCCAACTGCTTTAGTTTACCTGTTTGGGTTTTGGACATTTCAGAGGAGCAAGTGAATTTATTTTCACACCCTGGACTATAACCTAGGGTGCCTTAAGCTGAATGTGGAATAGTATGGTCAGAATTCATGTTCTGTGGCTGTACTGCCTTCATTTTGTATAAGTTGATGTCTCTGTTGTAGGGTTTTCTTGTAGAGATATGTTGGATTAACATTGTCTTTAAAAAAAAAAGTGTTGAATGCAGTTGAATTTTGTTTCTGTCTTAAGAGGCAGACAATAGTTAAGAGAAGTGATAGTGGCATGATGCCTGTGAGGCTGACTGAGCACTGGCACAGGTTGCCCAGAGAGGTTATGGAGTCTCCATCCTTGGATATGGCCAAAAGCTGTCTGGAGATGGTCCTGGTGGCCCTACTTGAGCAGGTATTGAACCAGATGACCTCCAGTCATGCCTTCCAACCTCAGCCTTTCTGTGATTCTGTGATCTGTCACAAATGTACTGTGCAGGATTTGATCAGCTTACTCTCAAATCTGTAGTTATAAGTGCATCATAAAATCTTAGAACATTTATAATATTTTGTAACAATACAGGCAATAATCAATGTAGTCATGTTACTCAGTGACAAATCATAACTTTGAGTTCTTTAGTGATAGCTGTAGTTTCCCTGATGTTGATGTATGAATATTTTTAATTCCCCTTAGAAAAACAGGATTTTCTGCAGCATGTTTGATGCTTCTCTACAGTGTCTTAAATTGCTAATTTTTGAAATTTGCTTCATGATACAATCATACAGGGTTTCACAGAAAGACTAGTGCAGTTGCTTCAGGCATTTCCCCTTCTCACTCTTGAATTTTCATGCATAGCTGCAATAATCACTAATGTAATGTCTTCACTTGGGAAATGGCCACAGGATCCAAGTTATGGCTGATACAATTGTTTTGATCTAAGTTCTCACTGCTCCAGGACAAGAGAAATCTCTTTAGGCTTGAGCTATTCTTGTGCAATCTGTGTGATCTGTTCTGTGCTGTCAGGGACCACAGGAAGATACTTTCTTTTATGGTAAATGTTGACAAAGAGGGAAAGCATGAAACACTTGGCTTGGTCAGCTTAATAGTACCTAAATTGTTACCTGTGTTAATTACTGGCTCAGCCTGGTTGCATTGTACCTTTCTTTGGGGATCTTCAAAACTATGGTTACAAAGACTTCATGTAATATATAAATAGTTACAGTAAGTTTATTTGTATTGAAGTCTTGTTGTTAAATGATACTGGACCCTATGCCTGGGTAGGATTTTCTTGGTAGATAAATGATAAAACGAGGATGCCTTTTTAAACTGTGCTAATGTAGCATTTGAGTGGTGTTGGCTAACTATAGATATTACTCTTTTGTTTGTTTTTAAATTTCACTAAAGTCTTAGAACTGCTCTTTTCATCAAGTCAAAATATGAAAGTACATTCTTAAGTAAAGCCTTTAAATTCTTGTATAGCTTGTAATATTTAGGGGGTTTTAGCATCATTGTGGCAGAGCAGCACTCATGGTAATCCAAGAGAGGAGTGGAAGTAGAGACAGCATTGGCACACTGGAGAGAAATTAATTTTAAAAGCAATGCAAACAATGAGTATATTTTACTGTCAGTCTCTTCACACCTAGCTTTTCCTTTCTTGAAGCTGATATAAGGGACAAGATCAACTGTACCAAAATTAACTCTAATTTACCCAAATGGCATAATAGTCAAAAAGCGTGCTGATAAGTATTGAGCATTACACACACTGATCTGAAAACATTAGTAAAGTTTGTGTAGGATTGTACTTTGTTTGTAGCTAGATACGGATTTAAACTAACTGCTTGATAACTCCTGTATAAACTTAATGTGACAATGTGGTATTCTTTTTGCCTTCCATTTTTTATTGAACAATTCCCTTTCAAAATTGCATTAACCACAGAAGTCTGGTGTGTAAGGCGAAGAGCTTTAATGTTCTTTTAGCATACGTTGTGGATCTCATTTAGAAACGCAGAAGCAACATTAAGATTATTCTGTCATTTATCTTGAGAGTGTGTAAGAAATTTTTTTTAATGTATATACTGCTTGGTGTTACTGTCCTGAAAATATATTCTTTTTTTAATCAGTGATGAAGAACGATACAGATACAGAGACTATGCAGAAAGAGGCTATGACCGCCATAGAACAAGTAGAGAGAAAGAAGACCGACACAGAGACAGGAGACACAGAGAGAAAGAAGATACTAGACACAAGTCATCTCGAAGGTTTGATTTTATTTTTTTTTAATAGGATACGAAAGACTTGACCAGTTTAAAAAAATAAAGTAAACTTATAAAAGAACTCCAAACAAACTGGAGTTTTGTGGAAAGACTGTAAACACTTAGATGTACTACTTGGAACAAGTCTGCCATATAAAATATGGACAGACAAAAAGCAATGTTGACCCCAGGTAACTTCACACTGAGTGGTGCATGTGACAGTCTTAGCTAGTGAACAGAAATTACGAGTTTGGGGAGAGAAGGGTGAAAATGGTGGGTCAGAAAGAGGTGGAGTGAAGCTGATGTTCAGCAACATTAATATAAGAACTCAACAGTGATTCTTGATAAGTAAAATAACCCTCATGATCACTTGATAGAAATTGTTCAATTTGATCCTTTCTGAGTTAGAAATAAAGGTTAAGTCCGGGGAAGGGGGGGTCAATAAGAATGTTAAACCATTAAGGGATGTCAGTAGGGACATGACATTATTAAAAGTATTGCTTTTAGAATGTGGGTTACAAATGTGAAAAATCATTCCAATTTCCCAACCAAACGTACAGGATGGGTGAATGTACATATCATTCCATGGAAAATTCAGTTTGGTGCTGACATCCAAATACTATATGGATTGGAACAGGAGCAGGTGCCAGTTTTCAAATCCAAATGCAAAGACTGTTTCTTTTTGGTAGTCTGTTTTTAAATGGGGCCTAAAGTATTATGCAAATGAGGTATTTTTTCCTCTCTATTTAGTAACAGCAGACGTCGTCATGACAGTGAAGAAGGGGATAGCCACAGAAGGCACAAACACAAAAAATCCAAAAGAAGCAAAGAAGGAAAAGAAGCCAGCGGTGAACCTGCTCCTGAACAGGAAAACACTGAAGCTGCCACTGTGGAATAGGCTTGTGTGGTTTTTGCCTACTTGCATATATATTAGTGCCAGAAATAGATTACTATAAATCTTGTTATTTTTCTGGGTATTAAAATAATTTGCTCTTAATCTTGTTCTGTTAGTTTGAAATCAGAGGTTACTTTGGGTTTTTTTTGAAAATAAAAGAATGAATTTTTCATGTTAAGATTCCTGGACTGACTTTGTCTTTAAAGAAACAGTGAGAAAACATCTTAGAGCTAGAGGCTTATGCTCTTACAATATATGTAGGGCTTAAATTGTCTCCTTTTTTCATAAACCAGTGGGAAGGTCCTTCTTTTACTGACCTTGGAAACAGTGTGCATTCACTTTATTACATACTAACTCCTGGAACAGTGTGAGTTTAGTATAGCTTATGGAGTTCATATTTGAAAGGTCATCTTTTACTACAGGGACAGACAGGAATTCCATGCTCCTCAAGAACCTTGTACTTAGGTGAAAGAAAAAAAATTAGGGAAACTAGGAAAGGTGTTGATTGTTCTTAGACTAATGGAACACTAAACGTGGTGATCATACACTTGGTAATTACGTCTGGTTTGTATAGGTGCGTAAGGGTGAATTAAGCTGGATAATCATCCCAGCTGCTTTTCAGTGCCTTAAGAGAAAGTTCATTTTAGTCTTTGTTCTAAGGGTACAGCTGTCCTTAACATGATAAAGATTAACAAACATGTCCTCTTCCCCTTGCTTGCTTGTGAGGGAAAAATAAGGCTTTGGAACATGGGTAATTTGCAGGGAAAGACAAAGAACTATTTTAAGAAAAATATGAAACCATCATCACTTTCAGATTTACTCCCTCCAGAACAGTATCAAGTGTGATTGGAATGGCAGGACTGCAAAAATTGTACTGCCCTGTCAGGGTGCTATTCAGAAGACTTACTTGATGGTATTGGCATGGTGCAGTGTACTTCCTTAAGAACAGTAATTCTATATAAAAATCCTAGATTTAATAGTATTAATCAAAACATACCAGTGAACCTAGGTCATTTGGTTTTGGGTGAAAGTAATGTCTGTACAAGTACACAGTTACAGTTATTTTTAATTATTTTAGAAATTTAATTCACAGTTTTACAGACTAACAAACAGCACTTGAAAGTCTTGAAAATACCAGCTTCATGCTGACCATGAAAAGGTACACATAATCAAAGTGCTATTAATGTGTTGGATAAAAAAACCTTCAGCTGATTTTTGCAACTAGAAAAATTGCAAGAAAATTTTCCATAAGTTATTCAAGGATGTCTTTTTGTAAATCAAAATAAAGTGGGTGAGTAGGAGCTGTTGCTCCTTAAATTTCATTATTGTTATAATGCATTAAATATATATATAAAAAAAAAAAACAAAATATCCTTAAGAACACAGGGAAGGGAAGACTTTAGTCTGTAGCTTAAATCACTCTGAAGTGATTTTTCCAACAGGTGTCCCTGCTTTGCCTAAACTTGACTTTTCTTGACATACAGGTTGAAATTTCACAAACCTTTTCTTTATTAACACATACTTGACCCCCCAAAAAAAGCAAAGACTGACGTGCCTTTTTTTTACTGTGTTAAATTACTTGTCATACTCTCTATGAAGACTTGTTTTATAAAAAAGTGCCAGGCCAGGACACAATTGTGAGAGTAATTTTTCCTTTCAGTTCTTTAAGCATCCTTGCCAAGCAGGCATGCATCATTCCTGATGTGTTCCTGCCATTGACAGCAAGGAGGATGTCACCGCATCTGAAAAACCAAAGGCAGATATGAGAGAACAATTAAGCAAGCTGACTTGTTATCTTAAACATTTGCAAAGGTTGAAGCATGTCCTTAAGCTGGGAGGAAGGGGCAGAAATGAGTATTACTATTCCTTTTCTGGCTAACTACTGTTCATGGTGAAAATACTTCACTTGTGGTTTTTTGGTTGGTGGTTTTTTTTTCCTTACAACTTTATAATTAATTGGACATATTTGAAAGAAAATAGAATGTAGTTCTTTCAGATGGGAATGATATGTGTTCTGAACAGACTTATGTTTTAAGACTTCTTAATTAAGTTTGCTCTGTAATTCTGCATTTACTTTCTTAAGTTGAAGGTGGTGAGGCACTGGAACAGGTTGCCCAGAGAAGCTGTGGATGCCCCATCCCTGGAAGTATTTAAGACCAGGTTGGATGGGGCTTTGGGCAACGTGGTCTAGTGGAGGGTGTCCCTGCCCATGGCGGGGGGGGGTTGGAACTAGATGGTCGTCTTTGAGATCCCTTCCAACCCAAACTATTCTGTGAGTCTATGAACTTGTATTGGTGGTTGGTTTGTTGGAATTTTTTTTTTTTTTTTGAGCTGGGGATGTGGGGAAGCTGCTCTGTGCTAGCATGCTTTGTACTACCCCAGAGATTAAACTGATGTATTTTTATACTTATTCATATACTAGTGATTGCTGGACATCTGAAAACATTCTACTCTGAAGGCAAATCTGTTGAAGTTCAGGACTCTTATTTCCAGATCTGTCAGAGTTAGTTCTGTATCAACGAATCCTTTTTTTACCCCCTACACTGTCTTCATGAAAACTTTAAAAAAAACAAAACACAAAACCCCAAACAAACTAGACTGAACTAGATGAAAGACTTACTTAAATGCTACTTTTCATTAGATAGTTATTACCTAATTCTGCCATCATTATATGCTGGTGTTCCCCCAACAACGGATTTGATAAAGAATGGTTTGTTCCCAGTATGTTCTTCATAACCTCCTACGATGCTGAAGCCAAGACTTCCAGATGTATTTCTTCGTAATACGATTTCTTTGCAGCTGTACAAATACCTGAAACAAACCAATAATTAAATGTCTTACAGTTAACTTTAGATTCTGATGAATCATTAATGATGAATCTGCCCTTTCATACACCCGTAGAGTGTTTTGAAGATGCAAAATAGCACCAAAGTTCCACCGTATTAGACACTACACTTCCCTTCTGGTTTTGAAGTGCTGCTTTCCACAACCAGTTATCCTAAAAGTAAAATTACTAGGTAATCTTATATGAATATGAAATAAGTTGTTTTCTAGGGTAAGGATTTATGCAAATGATCTGGCTGGAATTGAAAGTGATGGAGAAAACACTTGGCTGAGGCTGGATTTAATATTTGTAAACAATCATTCCAGAAACTGTATTTCACTTACCTTGTACAGTCCAGTGACTTGTTTTATCTTCCAGATAAGAGCCTGTATGTGATTAACCGTGTCAGAAGTGGTCAGGCATTTAGTACTGTGGTGTGCATCAAAGCTAAGTAATTTTAAGTCCAATGAAATGAGCCAGAATTACAAAAATCACAGAGATGACATGAGGAAGAGTATCAGTGGAAGAGGGAAGCCTGAGCTTTTCTTGTCAAGTAATATGGTAAGTCACAGTGTGGAAGATGGGAGAAGCCTATCCATGTCAGTCAGTGCCTTGGAGTACCGAAACCACTGTCAAGAAGATAGTTTGTCCTCACTTTAATGATTAACACACGATTTTGTGGTAAGAGCTGAAATCTGCCTCTCCCTCTGTTTGTCTTTTGAATGTATTTTATGATACTGTAAGTTATGCTGAGTGAAAGCTTAGCTGAAATAAGGAATAGGGGGAAGCAAGAGTGGTAAGGTTATTAGACTCTTACACTTTGTCTATTGCTCTGACTACATTAATTTCAATACCTGCTTTATTTCTTTTTTTTAAACCAAGCAGGAAAAAGAATAATTTTGCTAGTTACAGAGCAACAGAAATTTCTGTCCTTAGTACTTAATCCACTCACCATTAGTGGTATACCCAGGAATGATTGAAGAGCCTGAAAAATCATTTTGCTATTCCAAGTCTTGAAATTAGAGGCTGGTCTATAGCAAGCAACTGTTACAAGTTCTATTCAGAAACTCTTTAGGTTTCTAAGAAACTGCTGACGCTTGTGTAGAAGGGTAAGTAGTTTTATCTTAAAGACCAATATGTCTAGCTTTTTTAAATTTTATTTGTCAAATAATGCTTTTGCTGTGTTTCACAGCAGGATTTTATAGCAATACTAGATCAGTCCCCCAGGACCTACAAATATTCACCTGCTGCCAGGATGGTGGGTATATAATATTTGCACAAGAATTCACTGGCTGCTAATGTAAGAAACAGGTGATGTTTGCTTCTGTCCTCAGCAGCCAGGCTTTATTACTTTACCATCTGTGGGCTTCTCCAATGTGCAAAATCACTTAAACCCTCTATGTTTGATGGTACTTATCAAGGTCATGACCAAGCGATGCCAGGATTCAGCCGTTAGTGCTGTTACCTAGTGTTGATTTTGGGGGGGCAGGGGTCTCTGCTGCCCAGTGCTATGCTCACTGCCTTAAGGAGGTCATCGCTGAAGTCGAAAGGTGATCAGCTAAATCCTAACACCATAGAATAGCCAAGCAGGTAAAGACATGAGAAGAAAGTGCAGTGAAGATAAACAAAGCTTGCGTGCGTTCTGTACATATATAGCCTGCAAGGTTATCAGTCCAGAAAGCATCAATTTGTATTTGCTGTCAAAGCATATGCTAAATTTAAGTAAAGCAGACACAGCATGCTACCACTAGGATTGTTCTTTCTACCAGAGCAGAGGAAACACATGGGAAGCAAGGAGCCACAGAACGCCGCTGACTCCAACCCCCTGTGCTGCATTTTGCCTCGCCAAAGGGACGGGGTGTAACCTGCTGTGACAGCAAGGCAAAGGAGACCAGGAAAGCAGGAGGAGAGGTGCTGGAGAGAGGCTGAGTATGGGAAAAGAGGAGGAAAGGGGGTTTCCCCAAAGCGTTTACATGTTTGTCATCTTTGGTTCCCAATACCCAAATTGGTAATAAAATGTTTTTAAGTTAAATTCCTGAAGCAAAGTCTGTTTTGCCCATGACACTAATGGGTGAGCAATTTCCCTGTCTTTACTATGACCCATGAGTTTTCTTGCTCATTCTTCCTATTTTCTCTTGTCCTGCTGGAGGTGTTGAGCTGTGTGGGTGCTTGGTGCAGGCTCAGGACCAACCCATCACACCGGCCATAGTTACAGATTGACTCTTGACAGAATAGGAGTGGGTAGGTAGCAGTGATGCCTTTAAATTGATGTTTCCTTATCGCCATCCTATGGGATAGAGAGTATAAACATGGCAGTGGAGCATCCATCAGCTATTCATTAGCGCTGTCAGAAA